CTCTTTTTCATTTTTCTTGTTCTCTCTCTCTTACTTTCTCTTTTTCATTTTTCTTGTTCTCCCTCTGTCTCTCTGTCTCTCTTTCTCTCTCTCTCTCTCTCTCTCTCTCTCTCTCTCTCTCTCTCTCTCTCTCTCTCTCTCTCTCTCTCTCTCTCTCTCTCTCTCTCTCTCTCTCTGTATATATATGTGTGTGTGTAGATTTAAATACTTTTCTTCCCAGTTCCTTTTTGCAATTATTTTTGCATTTCTTTCGTCCTTAACTCATCTATTTGCTCGCTCTTCACCTCAGGCTTCATTTCCACGAAAATATCGTGTATATTTACAACACATTTCCTCTTCTCCTTTTGCTCATGTCTGCTACGTTTATCGCTATGCCTCCTTAACCCCGTCTTCCCCTCTCTCCCTCTTTCTCTCCCCCCCTTCCCCCCTCTCTCTCTCTTTCTCTTCCCCCCCTCCCCCATCCCCCATTTTAAGGCCCTACCTTTACCTACCGATCGGACTCCCCCTCTCTCCCCCCCTTATCAATCCATTCCCTTTCCCCCTCACCTCCCCCACTCCACTCCACCCCCTCCCCCCTATCCCTTATTCCTTTCCCAAGTGCATATATCTAAATATCCCTCGCGTATGTGATTGAAAAAGCCTGATCCAGTCTCCATTTTCCTTTTTTTTTTGGGGGGGGAGGGGGTGAGGGAGGGAAGGGAGGGAGGGGGGGTAAGATTTTGTCGGTTTTCTGGGAGATTCGGTCTTTTTCTCTATCTGTCTCTATTTCTTTCTTTCATTCTTTTCTTCTCTTTTCTTTTCTTCTCTTCTCTTCTCTTCTCTTCTCTTTTCTCTTCTCTTCTCTTCTCTTCTCTTCTCTTCTCTTCTCTTCTCTTCTCTTCTCTTCTCTTCTCTCTCTCTCTCTCCCTCCTCTCTGTCCCTTTCTCCCTCTTTATCTCCCTCCCTCTTTCTCTCCCCCTTTCTCCTCTCTCCCTCTCTCTCCCTTGTCCTGCCCAAAGGGATTAATGGCGTTCAATATGTAAACATGTTGCTGAGATCGGATTTGAGAGGGATCTTTTTTGAGGTGGGGGGGGGGGTAGGGATATGAGGGGGGAGGGGGAGGGAGGAGATGGTTGGAGCTTTTTGGTTGAAATGTTTTTTTTTTTTTTTTTTTTTTTTTTTTAATGTATTCTTGTGGGTTCAGATATGTGGATATTCAGACGTGAAAGCTTTGGTTCTGCTATCTTTCTGCTATCCTACTGCTCTCTTACGGCTGCCTTCCTGCTAACTTTCTACGTTCCTGCTGCCTTCCTGCTACTTTACTACTTTACTGCTACCTTCCTGCTACCTTCCTGCTACCTTTCTGCTATCTGCTATCTAACTGCTATTTTACTTTTGCAGTTATATATCTGCTACTTTTGAGGCTCATGCTAAAAATATCAGGTCTACTGCTTCTGCTTCTACTATTATTACAACTACAAATTTGCAGCTGCTGCTACTATTATTACTGCTTTTGTTATTTTTGTTGTCGTATGGGACACTGAAAATAACAGTTTATTTTATTTCCATGGCACCCTTCCATTACTACATTCGAACATCCAATTATTTTTCTGTTTATCTATCGTTTTCCCTCCCTCCCTCAATTTCTATTTATCTCTTCATCTCTCACACCCACCCTCTCTCTATCTCTTTCGCTCCTCTCTTTCTGTCTGTCTATTCATCTCGATATCTCTCCTTTCTTATATTTCCTCTCTCTCTCTCTCTCTCTCTCTCTCTCTCTCTCTCTCTCTCTCTCTCTCTCTCTCTCTCTCTCTCTCTCTCTCTCTCTCTCTCTCTCTCTCTCTCTCTCTCTCTCTCTCTCTCTTTTCTTTCTTCTCCCCCTCTCTCTCCGTCCCTCCCCTTCCCTCCCTTCCCCCCTTCCCCCCTTCCCTCCCTGCTCCCCCCCTTCTCCCCTCTTTTCCCCTCTCCTCCCCTTCCACACAACTGCCCATCCCCACCAACTCAGTCAACCCTGCATCTCCCCCTCCCAGCATCGACACCCGTGCCTCTTCTTCCCCTTTGGAAAGCGGTTAAATAACACCCCTCCCCCCTCCCCCCTCAACCCTCACCCCCACACCCCACACCCCCACCCTACGAAAGCGTTGACTTGCTGGTCTCGTAGAAACTGAATTTCCTGTGTATTGTAGCAGGCGTCGCTCAGTCCGTGCCGTGTTATTATGGGCGCGTGGGCTGCATACATTTCTTCTGTGTCTTTTTTTCTCTCTCTCTTTCTCTCTCTCTCTTTCTCGATCTGTCTCTGTCCCCCCTCTCTCTCTCTCTTTCTGCTTCTCTTTCTCTCTCTCTCTCTCTCTCTCTCTCTCTCTCTCTCTCTCTCTCTCTCTCTCTCTCTCTCTCTCTCTCTCTCTCTCTCTCTCTCTATCTATCTATCTTTCTCTTTCTCAGACAGGCAGACATACAAACAGACAGACAGGCAAACAGAGTGTGAATGTGAGAGAGAGAGAGAGAATGAGAAAGAAAAAGAGAAAGGGAGAGAGAGAGAGAGTATATGAAAGAGAAAGAGAGAGATAGAGAGAGAGAGAGAGAGAGAGAGAGAGAGAGAGAGAGAGAGAGAGAGAGAGAGAGAGAGAGAGAGAGAGAGAGAGAGAGAGAGAGGGAGGGGAAGAAAGAGAGAGAGAGAGAGAATAAATGCAACATTGACAACGCAAAGTGGCGAATTCTTCAACTCTCCTCCTTTCCCATAATTCAGCGTTCGACAACATCTTAGTTTCGCCGTTGATTGACGCTGAGTTATGAGACTAATTTGAAAATCACAGGGAAAAAAAAAGACTATGTGATGACATGGCAATCTTGACCGCACATTCACATTGGGGAGAAAATCTTATTGGAGGAAGAAGCATTTCTCTATTTTTGCTTTTTTTTTATTATTATCATCATTTTTTCTTCTCTTTCTGTCCCTTTTTTCTTCTTTTTTGATGTGTATTATTTTTCCCTATTGTGTAGTTTTTTTTCTTATTTTCATGTATTTCCTCTTTTAAAGCATTTAATTTGTTTTGTGATCATTTCCGGCGATAAGGAATTCAAGCGCTGCATTAAAAGGATCTAAAAGTCGCTTTCTGTTAACACTGTCCTCTCGCCGCCGCCTCCCAAAATACACCCATTTCAGACCCAAATAAGCCCTTAAATAGGAGAGAGAAAAGGTTACGTTATTTTCGTGGCCTTTCCCCTCGGCAAGTCACCCAGGACCCTGAGGGGAAAATTGTTTTGGATGAGAAAATTGTGCCGAGAAACTGGGGGGGAAAAGTGAAAGAACTTACGCCCAGATCTAGCTCAATTGAGACCAAATAGTAGGGCTGGCCAGACCAAACTGGCGACCGAGTGTTCGCCCTTGTTAGCGAGGTCTTTATGACCAATTGAGTGTGTATGGGCCCCCACTGCGACGGGCGGCGCTGAAGGAGGTTATCTCAAGGCGGGCGGGGACCTGACCCACATCCCGACGCGGCGGCAGATTCAGGCGGGAGATAGCTGCAGGGGCCTCGTCACGCCACAAAGAAACGTTCTTATTAAGAGGCGAGAGAGAGAGAGGAGGGGGGGACGACACGACCGAAATGTGTATATATATAACTGAGGGACGGGAGGAGGGGGGTTGGGAGGAGGAGGAGGAGGAGGAGGGGGAGGGAACAACATACACACACACACACACACACACGCACGCGGACACAGGCACTGGTCAAAGCGGGCGCTCTCGGATACTCGCCGTCAGATCTGAAGGGGCGTGATAATAGCATTCGTAGGGCGAGTCCCTTGGCGCTTTGATGTTTGTTATCTGGGAAGAAGACGAGATTACGACGTCTGACGGAGTGGACTAATGACAGGCCTTGAAGGAGAGGAGCTGCAGTGCGCGCACACTTTAGAAATCGCCGACGTAACTTCATCATGAAAGACGGTCCTCGGCGCTCCCTCTCAAGACACACGGTTTTCTCTATGACATACACTCTCCAAGACACAAGGTTTTCTCTATGACATACACTCTCCAAGACACAGGGTTGTCTTTATGTCGGGCTACACGTTTGCAAGACACGGGTTTTTTCTTTACGACACTCACGTTCTCCAAGACACAGGGTTTTCTTTATGACTCATGCTCTTCAAGACACAGGCTTCTCTTAATGCCTGGCTACGTCTCCAAGACACGTGATTTTCTTAAAACCAAACAGGGTTTTCCATATGACATATACGCTTTCATATACCGCTACACATTACTTTGTTTAATACATTACTTTGAGAGAGAGAGAGAGAGAGAGAGAGAGAGAGAGAGAGAGAGAGAGAGAGAGAGAGAGAGAGAGAGAGAGAGAGAGAGAGAGGGGGGGGGGGGGGAGAGAGAGAGAGAGAAAGAAAGAAAGAAAGAAAGAAAGAAAGAAAGAGAGAGAGAGAGAGAGAGAGAGAGAGAGAAAGGTGGGAGGGGAGAGACAGAAACAGAGAAAGAAAAGAGATATATAGAGAGAGAGAAAAAAAAGAAAGAGAGAAACCACCTACACAAATAGCCTTCAACCGGACCCGAGGAGCGTGCGAGGGAGGTCGTCCACAGGTAGCCCCTACGTAGCCCTCAGGTAGCCACGCCTTCTCATTGTCTAGCTTCACACTTCTCATCGCGAGGAACCAAGAGCGAGACTATGAACTATCGACCTGGCTCACTACCTATTCTTCCGGATGACTCTCGCCTCATTCCGGCCGGGATGGGATTTCACACTCAGGGACGGCTCCCCGCGGCCCTGGCTGGCTGCTCCCTCCTCTTCGTCTTCTTCTTCGTCTTCTTCTTCTTCTTTTTCTTTTTCTTTTTCTTTTTCGTCTTCTTCTTCTTTTTCTTCTTCTTCTTCTTCTTCTTCGTCTTCTTTGTTTTCTTCTTCTTCTTCGTCGTCGTCGTCGTCTTAAAATTATTATTATTAGTAGTATTAGTATTATTAGTATTATTACTGTCGTTATTGTTGCTTTGTTATTAACGCCTTCTCTCTCTTATCTCCTTCCAGACCATCCTCAACTCCATGCACAAATACCAGCCGAGGTTTCACTTGGTCCGAGCCAACGACATCTTAAAACTCCCCTATTCGACGTTTAGGACCTACGTCTTCAAGGAGACAGAGTTCATCGCCGTCACAGCCTATCAGAACGAGAAGGTAAATGGTCTTTAAGAAAGGTTTTTGTTTTTTAGTATTTTTTTGGGGGGGTGGGGGGTAGGGTGGGGGGGGTTAAGGGAGTAAGAGGGTGGGTGGTAGAAGGAAAGGGAAGGTCGTGGTGGGGTTTGTTTGTTTTAATGTTTGTTGTTTTGTTTTGTGTGTGTGGGGGGGTTGTTTGTTGGTGTTATGACGTTAATATTATTGTTGTTGATGTTTTTTATGTATTTGTTGTTGTTACTGTAGTGGTATATGTTATTATTGTTGTCAGTAGTAGTAGTAGTAGTAGTTGTAGTAATTATTTTTTAGAATTAGAGGGCTACTAGCTAAGAATAAGATACAGAAAACTAGATAAACTTGAATTTCTTATTTTGTCATTAAAAATATATATATATTACATTTAAATGCGACATTGTGAATACATTCGCGGTTCTCAGTGAATATATCCAACTGAGAAAAAGTCCTTTAAACATTCATATTGCACTGGCAAATTTGCAAAGAATTTATGCCATAATATAAATGGTATATAAATAGCAGGATAAAATGTCTGACAGCGCACCCATGTGTTCCCGAGCAATAAAAAGCCAATAAAATATCCGTAATGGCATGGGTGTCAATCACTGAGTTCCCTCGTCGTCACCGCCTCGGCACCGTCCGATTGACTCCCTTCTGGGCTCGGCATTGAGACTGACCAACCCTCGG